GCATACCCCCCCCCCTTCGCCGTAACTCAAGACACGGCCTCCACACTTTCACACACCCAACCACATCCCCACCCCCTCCCTTCCGCATTCAACTCCCACCCCTCGACAAAACCGCCGTGAACCCTAAACCCTGAACCCTCAGGCCAAGATCTGCGCGCAGCTTGACGGCGCCCTCCTGACCGATGAGGAGTGCGGCCGATACCAGGAGAAGTGGACCGCCCTGCCAGACCCCGCACACGGCGGCGCGCAGCCGGCGCCGGAGGGCGCCACCATTGCGGGGCTCGCGCCGCTGGCCGCGGCCGAGGGGGAGGGCGGAGCCGGGGCGCATGGGCACGGGCATGGGGCGCACGGCGGGCACTGAGGGCGCGGCGGCGCGAGGGGTGGGGCGATGAAGTGTTTGGCCTGCGGCGGGGCGGTGGCGGTGTAGGCGAGGCAGAGCAAGGATGCGTCAGCATATGGGATGTCAATTCTTTCTGATTCGGCGGCCAATCTTGCTTCGATTGCTGCCATGCCGCTGACGACTTGCGCCAGGCATGAAGAGTGTTATCGTGTCCGCATCTGTCCTTTTCCCCCGCGATGTATCACCTGCTGCGAATCGACGGCTGCCCGGCGGCTCCAGGAAGGGCCGAGGGCGGCGGCTGCTGTCCGCTCGTGGCGACCTTGAGTGTTCGCGCGCGGCAGCACCCTGGGCCCCTGGTTCCTCCCGCCCTCCTTTTGTTACGGTCCAATCAGACCCAAATGTGAATCAATCGGTCCCTTCCCGCTGTAACGGGTCGACACTCGGCAGTCCGCCACGCGCTCGCGACACGACGCCAGGGGCCGCCGGCGCGGCCGCTGCGCTTCCTAACACTGCAAACGGGGGGCTGAGAAGAGCCGGTGGTGGTTGGGCAGCGCAACCCCGTCGGCCGTGACAGCTATACCGTGTCAACCCTATTGAGGCCTCAGCCCAATTATTGCGACGGGACCGTGTCCTCCGTGGGATGGCGCACGCCGCTCAATCCCAGCGGCATCACCCTCTGTAATCACCCTGCTGTTGCTGCCGCTGCCGTTGCCGCTTCTGCTGCCGCTACCACTGCTGCTGAATGTTGCGTGTGCAGAGTGCAGGGCAGGAAGGCCGTTGCCACGACGGCGCGCACCAACTGGGAGTGCTGGCCCTGTGGAAGGCCTGCAGATGCGTGCAGGTGCATACGCGCGTGCGTGCATTCGTGGAATGCGGCGGCCACGGGCGGTGAGACACACAAGGCTTGGAAGCAAGCACAGAGCATCATCAGCAGCGCCAGAGCCCTTCTGCAGCACGGGGCCTGCAGCTCGCAGACACTGGGGGCTGTCATCGCGCATGCACAGCTTGACGCCGCTGCCTAGTAGCACACACCTGCATGAATGTCCCTCCCAGAGTATGTACAAACTGGGTGCACACACATTTGAATACTTTGGTTGGTGGCGGGCGCACGTGAAGGACCGCGCGCTCGGTTGCACCCTGCCCCAGCAGCCGCCAGGTAGGTCTAAAGCAAGCAGCAGGCACGCCTGGCTGCCCGGCTTCTGCTCGGGGTGCTCGGCCCACAACTGGACGCGTGTGGCCTCTGCCGCACCGCCCATCCCCAACGAAAAGCTGCCCCCAGTGATGAAGCCATTTGAGCTGCCCCGCCTCGCACACCGACCAGGGCCGCCTTTCGTGCCATCTGCAGCCCTGCTGCTGCCGCAGCCCCGTGCCTCGCTTCGCGGTGCCAGCGCTGCCGTGAGTGCTACACTGCTGGTTCATCTGCAGCGCTAGTGGTGTGACACCGTTTTCAACCTTTGCACTTACACACATGAGTGGAAGAGGGGCGCGAGACAACTGAACAACGCGGCGCACCCTCGCTCTTCGCTTTCCGCCGCCTGGAAACGCTGCAAACGCATGCGTGCAGCGCTTGCGCGGCGGCGACACAGCGCTCGCGCGGCGGGCGGAAAGCGCGGTAGGGGTCTGGGCTGCGGTATGTCCGGGCTGCGATATCTCCTGGGGTTGCCGTGTGGGGTAAGCACGGCGTGATGCAACGAGGGGCAAGCTCAAATATTTATTCCCTATGAGTGCCTGCGCAACAGATGCGTCGCGCGAGGCAGCAAAAACAACGGACAGCCGCGGCACCGGGAAAGGGCGCCCCGCCCGCGCTGATCGGTTCGGGGCGGCGGCGGGTGCAACGCACATGGCAGGTTTGGGCGGCGCTGCGGGGAAAAAAAGGTTTTGTTGTGTGTGTGTCGTGGCCTGCGAGAGGGGCGTGCCGAGGTCGGCCTGGAGGACGGCGCGCTAATCAACCGGCGACCGCTTGCGACGAATAAGGCAGACGGGAGCGGGGGCAGCTGCGACGCCGGCCCAAGGGAAGGGCCCGCCTGTGCAGCGACAACGGTGACATCAGCGACAGAATCAACAGATGCCCCGCAGCCCAGGGTTTATCAGGAGCCCGGGGAGGGGGGAGTTTTGGCAACAGCCTGGATGGGGGGAGCGTGGGCAGGCTTATCGCAGTGGCCCGCACTAGCAGGGTCCGGCCGGCATGGCTGCTATCTTGCATGTGATTATGTGCACAGGCTGCTTACTGTATTTCCTACGCAATCTAGGAGAGCCGCCTCGACGCACAACCGCCGCCCGGCGGCGGCGGGGGCGTGAGAGCCCCAGATCCCGCTGCAAGAACCGCACGGCGTTGAGGCAGAGGCGAGGCCAACACGCGCTGACGACGCGCGAGCGAGCGGCCAAACCGATACTGGTGGCATGCCGCTCCCTTGCCCCTCGGGAGGCCACAGGGTCTTGAACGCGGTTCCCTGCAGCCACATCAGCGGCAAGTGCCCCCCCTTAGTGCAGCCAGGCGCGCGAGGGGGGGCAGCGCAGCGCGTGCGGCGCGGCGCGCGCTCGGTTCAGGGGAGCGCGCGCGCATGCGCGAGCAACCGCCGCCTTTGTCCCACCCAGCCTCAACACCCGGTCGCGCGGAGGGGCCCAGTGCGGGCGCCGGAGGCGCGTCGTCACTGTGACGTCACCCCTGACGTCACAGCAGCACCTTGGCCTCGAACGTCGTGAGCGCGACGGCAAACGCCTGCGCCGCCGTCAGGACGCAGGGGTTGTAGTCAAGAATGTACACGTCAGCGTCCACCTTGCCGAACTGCATCACGACGCCGCCCCCGCTCGCCCCGCCGCCGCCCGCGGCGCCGGCGCCGGGCAGCTGGGGAGCTTGGGGGCCGGGCGGCGGGCAGGGGGCGGCGGTGGCGGGCGTGGGGGCCGGCGCCGGCACGAGCTGGAAGTTTTTGACGCTGGCGAGTTTGACTCGGCCGCGGAAGTTGAGGCACCAGCAGCGCAGCGCCTCGTTCCAGTGGGGCGGCTTGTTGACCAACACCAGCGGCGGCGGCTGCTGCTGCTGTTGCTGCTGCTGCTGCTGCTGCTGCTGCTGGGCTTGCTGCTGCTGTACTTGGTGCTGCTGTGAGAGCTGTTGCAGCTGCTGCTGCTGCTGCTGCTCTTCCAGCTGCCGCAGCGCCCTCGGCGGCTTGCGGCCGCCGCCGCGGCGCCCCGCCTGGTCGCCGCCGCGCCGCACATCGTCGCGGCCACCCTCCTCCCCTTCGCCGTCCTCGCTGCTGCTGCCGCCGCCGCCGCGGCGCGGGCGCCACGCCGGGGCGGCGTCCAACGAGGCGGCGCGCCCCTCGTCGCCCGCGGCAGCCAGTGGCACGGGAACGTCCAGGTCCCCCGAGAGCGTCGCCGCGCGCGCCAGGCGGAGCGGCACGCCCACGGCGGGCGGCGGCGGCGGGGGCCACGCCGAAGGAATGCCGCGCTCCGTGGCGAGCGCCGGGTCGGGCTCGGCGGGGCGCCTCGAGCCTTGCTGCTGCTGCTGCTGCTGCCGCTGCTGCTGATCCTGCTGCTGCTGCTGCTGCTGCTGCTCACGCTGCGCATCATGGGGTTGGGGCACCTCCACCGTCATGCGGCGCGGCAGCATCATGCCGCGGACACGGACCTTATACAGCACGCGCACCAGCGGCGCCGCCGCCCGGGCCCCCACCCAGGGCCCCCGACCGACCGCGTCGGCGGCCGCGTCCCCGCGCTCGCTGCGGCACTGGTCCCGATCTCCTGGCCGCCGCGCGGCACCCGCCTCGCGCCCGCCGCCGGCCGGCCCTGCCAGCGCCAGGGGCGCCATCAGCCACCCCGCGCCATCTGGCGAGAGGCTGTACGCCGTCCTCATCATGTTGGTCCCCAGCATCGCCATCGGGCGCCCATCCATCGCCTTGTCCAGGTGAAGGCTGTACCGCTGCTTGCTCTCCTGGCGGGCGCCCAACAGGAAGCGGCCCGCGTCAGGCTTGCAATAATCCGCGCCCTGGAACAGCGAGAAGCGGTGCAGCCGGCCCCCCAAGCCGCTCGACACTATCTGGCGGCGAACGTAGCAGCGAATGAGCGCGTTCTGGCCCGACCTGCGAGCCGGCGGGCGCGGCGGCGGCGCTGCTGCCGCCGTCGCCGCCGCCGCCCCGGCGGAGCTCGCGCCGACCGGAAGGTCAGCGGGTGGCGGGCACTGGGGAGGAGGCGGTGGG